CCCACACATATCATCTTCTGTAAAATAGATAACTTCCTCCTTCCGGGGGCGCTTACATGGCTGGCTGTCTTCTTGCTCCAGTTCCCGCACTACATTCTTCTTGGCTGATGTGGTGCAACCTATTATTGAGCCCCCAATGATTACGTTAATGGTCCCTCGGACCTACCTTTCTTGTATTTGCTGGTTCTGGGTAGTCTGCTCCTGCTGCCTGTTGTTCTAGGGTGCCTCCTTGCTGGTGAAGTGTCTCAGGTAACCTCATTTGGTGAGGTCTTCGATCTTGTTCTTTAAATTCCAACAATGCTCAGTGTTGTGCCTGAAATCCATGAAAATGACAGTACTTGTTTGGATTTCAGGTGTTGGGGTCTCCCCTCATCTTGGGAGGCCAATTCACATAGTCATTGGATTGAATCTACATCAGGATTTCCTTCCTCCTAGTGTTTAATGGGGTAAACAACTTGGTGTACACTGGTGGTGTCGTTGAACGCTAGCCTGCTCTTCTGGCTAGCGACCTACTTTTGTGGCATGGCGAGCTGTTGCGCCTCCTCCTCGGGGATCTACCTTTCTTTGGAGACCCACTTCTTCGCCTAGTCCTACTTGTGCTTGCCTCCTCATCTACTCGCTTCCTTTTCCCTGCAGCTTCAAATTCTATCCCTACTGCCTCTTCTACCCTGATGAAGTCGTGGGCTACTACAAGGAATTTTTCCATGGTTGCTGGTGGATGTAATTCGAGTTCCCACTTTAGTTCATGATGCTTGACACCTTTCTTGGCTGCTATGAGCTGTATAGAAGGATCCAGGTCTAGAGTCTGTAGTCGTTCCATATTAAATCTTCGGATATATTCTCTAAGTGTTTCGCCGGGCTTCTGTACAAAGTATAATGTTGAACAAGCATGTTGCTGATTTCAAATGTCGCATGCTGGTGCCGAACTGGTTAATAAAGAGCCTGGCGAACTGGTTCCAACTTCTGATGGATCCTAGGGCCAATCCTGAGTACCAAAGCCACGCCTCCTCTTTCAGTGTGGTGGGGAATGCGATGCACATGCTGGCATTGTTCGCTCTATGAAGGAGCATAAAGGCTTGGAAGCTGTTTGCATGCTCTACTAGGTCTGTCTTTCCCCAATATGACTCTAAAGTGGGGGCTCGAAAGTTTTTTGCACGCAGCGCTTTGAGGGTCTCTGGTGCGAGTGGGGTTTCGTGGGTCGAGCTAAGTTGTTTTGAAAGGGAAGCCATCTTACTAGTTTCCGCACTACTCTCTCCAAGTTGGGCTCCGTTGTTCGCACGGACGAGTTGTATTTTTCTCCCTACGCGATGCGTAGGCTTCTTCTTCTTGGTGCACTCAGTGGAGCTAGCTACATTAGTTTCAACATGTGCCTCAGCTTGGCTTTCCGCGGGTACTTGCTTGTTCCAGGATGCCACGTCTTCTCTATCCGGGATCTGAATTTGATTGTGGACTCGTGGGCGAGGTGGGTCCTCTCGGTTCAAATTATTATTTTGTGGAGGGAGTTGTTGACTGTTCCTCGGGACCTCTTGGTTATGATTTGGAACATATTGATCATTGAGCGGGCCCTATTGATTGCTAAGGGGTTGTTGCTGGCTATTGCGAAACTGACTACCTCGTAGTACGTGCTGACCATCACAGGGAAGTGGTTGATCTAGCACTACGTGATGCTGCTGTTGGAATTGCTATTGTTGTTGATATTGTTGCTGCTGCTATTGTTGGAACTGCTGCTATTGTTGAAATTGTTGTTGCTGCTTCTAAAATGGCTATGGTTGTTGCCCCACAATGAAGACAAACATGTTTTCCCATGACTGCATCTATTCAGTCATGTTGTGCACACATCGTACCAAGTCGTTGAACTATTGTGCATCCACTACTACGGGAGGTGTCATGGGATCCACAACCGGAGGTGGGGGTGGCATATTCACATTTTCCTACACATCGGTGGGCAGTAAAGGAACGTCAATCTGGCCTATTGTGATTGTTGGTACTTAGCCATTGACATTGTTGGTTGAAGGGTTGTTGGAAGATGCCATTGAAAGATTTCTTCGAGAAAAATGAGAAAGGTAAAAGAAGAATGAAAGGAAACACTAGCTTCTTGCTGCATTTCCTACAGACGGCACCAATTAATGATGCACAATCTGCTCACTCCCTCATGTCTGGTGATGTGGCCCGAACTGGGTTCAAACTTGGCAATGTCGAGCTATAAACTGCAAGTCCGAGCTAAGAAGAGTTGTGAGGAAAGAAGAGTTAGAGTGCCTGGGTAGGTTTTACCCAGGAAGACACTCCGATGCTTAAGTCAGTAAGTAGGTCTTGAAGGGATGAGAGATCCATCATATGGATAGCCGAACCCTGTAGGTAGGTAGGGAGAAATTTCAAAATATGTCTCTCTCTCTCATATGGGAATCACATTCCCTGTTTTAGAAAACTGCATTTTCAAGGATCAATCTTGAACCTAAACCAGACTAGATCTTAAACCAAAAGGTAGGAGAGGGATATACCTGATACAGAGTAACATTAACTCCCAATGAAGGTGTTCAGGCCCAAGGAAAATGCCAAAAACTGCTCCCACTGAAGATGACACAGTGTAGGGTGGAGCAAAATCAACAGGTGGTTCTTCAATAAGAACCGAACTCTTCAGCAAGAATTCGATGGAGGGTGAGTGAGCACGACTTCCTACAGGTGGAAATCGAACTGGCTATGGCGGCAGCAATAGAAGGAGGCAAGAGCAGAAGATGGCGTCAGTCTAACTAGAGTTGTCTTCTCTTTTGAATCTGTAACCTGATCTGTTGTAGTAGGGTTCGCCCTCCTCCTCTATTTTTAGCCTTAAAGAGAGGTTCTCCTAACCCCATTAGGAGTTCTCTAATCCAAATCTTGTATTTGGATCTGGACTCTCTTTAAGAGATAAGGATAATTCCTTATCTTATCTATAGATAAAGATTAACCCTTTTAATCTAATTAGGAGTTTCCTGATCCAAATCTCTATTTGGATCTGGACTCTCTGAGTGGATAGGGGTAGTCCCTTATCCTATCTGCTGATCTAAATCCCAGAACCACCCCTCTTTAATTAATCATATTAAACCAGTTCGAATTGGGCTTTAGGCCCATTAAGTCTATGTGCTCACATATCCTTCAAACTGTTGCCCAATTGGGTATCTTTGTATGGCGTGGGACCCAAACATTGATCTACACATCAGCCACATGGGTTCAACCCAACCTCTGTTATAAGGCCTGGCCGAATTCACTATAGGAAATAGTGAACCCCTGAGTCCATCACCATGGGCTCTTAATGGGCCCAACATTTACACTAAATGGTCCTTGGGTCAAGCCACCTTATAAAAACCCAAGGTCTGTGGGCAGACGCAAGTTTAGCCCATCAGGTATTACCCTCAATGGTCCTACACTTAACCTCTCAGCCCATAATGATCAAACACTGCCCGACAAGAAAAGACCTCTCCCTCGGCTACAAGGAACAGTGTTGCACTCTTTACTCACATGGATCCCGGGAATTAAAACATTTTGCAAACATTTTGAAACCATGATATATATGTATATCTCTATATAAATATACTTTGCAAAACAAATTTCAACGACTGAAATCGGCTGCCGGTAGCTTTGGTTTCCATCAGAGATAGTGCATCCCCGATCATTACCTTTGTTCAACAAAGGGGCTGATCCTGTCACTATGATCACCCACTCAGATGAATTCTCAGACTGTCCCAACATACCCAGGTTTTGACCCCCTCTAAGGATCTCACTGATTGGCGTATCAAAGACAACCCAATCCGACACCTAGTGCAGTATCATAATCGAGTCTAGGGGTCAGGTGTAAATTTCAGTTTTGCCCATCAATCTCCAAGGTCCAGGGCAATACTAGAATTCTGGTCCGGTTCAGGGTTTGAAGAAAACCCACACTACATGTACCTCAGGTCTCACCCTGGCAGCTGAGACAAGCTACCCCAACCAACTTGGCGTCTCATCAGTGTCAGCCTTGGCAAGATAAATCTTCCCAGATCTATCCAACGGCTGTGAAGATTCTAAACTAACACAAGTCTCATATGTGTCCAGTTTAAGAGTATTATACAAAAACACACCATAATAACATGAATCAAATATGTACTTTATTCATTTACATTAAATGTCATAAGGTACATCATTCTGATTGGAGCTAAGGGCATACACTATTTAACAGGTCTTTAGTGAGAGTATGTGAGAGAGTATGAGAGCTTATGTGCGCATACCTTTCAGAGTGATCCTGGGGTCTTTTATAGCTATCTGAGGTTCAGTTGCCATTAGGCATTGTCTCTGAGTCTTCTACGGAGTTGTTTCTGCATTTTGGGGCGTGCTGAACTATCAGTTGCTAGATTTGCGCAGCGGTTACAGGTTGCTCGCGAGTCTTGCGGTGTATGGTTCGTTGAGCTGCTCTCATAGTTGCGGTAATGGTGCTTACGTGGGTGTGGCCCATGGGACCTTTTCAGGCGAGCTGGAGTTGTTGGTGGCCCAAGCTCGCCCTAGCTCGGCTGCGTACCTACTGTTGACTGTCACATGTCTTCTTGTTGAGCTGTCTTGTTGTGCTAGACGCTATATTACCAACGGCATCCACGTGTCAATAATTGTGTGGGGTGACCAAAATGTCACTCATCAACATGTAAATAATAAACCTATTGCAAGTTAATATGTAAATATTAGATAAAAATACATTATAAATTTATCAAGGGAAAACCGTTGGAAGAGATCCAGATTCGATTGGATAATTAATTAATCTTGTTCTTTGGGATCCAAATCAGGCTTAAATCGGATTGGATTTTGGATTTGGACTAAACAATTGGGTTCTCAAACCATAATAGTTCCGGCCAGGCTTGAGCTAATCGAGGCCTCGGCCCAATGTTCCAGGCCCAAGCCTAGCTCCCGAATATCCAAATCCAATCCGTGCAATATTGGGTTAGGCCGGTCCGGTCCGGTTGAGAGAGTCGCCTTCGCAAATCGCAAATCGCAACCCTGTTGAATTCCCATTTCGTTAGTTTTGCAAACCCCAGCGACCCAGTCAGATTTCAGAAAGGTGAGTACTGAGTAGGAAGCTTACAGCACACCTGCATCGTTACCTTCAGCGCAAGGTGACTCTCTCCGGTGAGATATCTCTCGTTTCCGGCAAGGTGAGACTTTCTTGAAAACCCAACTAGATATCTTTTAATTCAGAAAAGCTGTATTGTTGGATTGGTAATGAGGGTTCTGTATTTTTTTTTTCATTTTTTTCCTGGTTTTATTGATTTGTTCCATGAGAAATGTTTCTTCCTCTTCTTGTCACTACGAGAGAAAAAAGGGTTTCGCCCTGATATTTTCTAAGTGGTTTATGTGGTTTCTTTTTATTTATTGTTTTTTTTTTCCTCTCCGTGATTTCTTCTTCTGTTTCTTTGATAAAATGTATTGGTTAATGTCATTACAGCGAGTAATAGATCCTCTTTTTAGATAATAATCCCTTCCATTGCAAACCCCTTTTGGTCTCAATTGGCTGATTGCGTGGGAAAATATGTTCGGGTGCTGTATCTTCCTGTAGAGTTGTAGGGGACATGATTGGAGATGTTAATCAATTTTTTACGGCAGGGAGTTGTCAACTCTGTTGGTGGAGTTTTTGTTTCCTTTTATCGATACCCTTACAGACATTTCTTTTATTAACATAATGGACATTTAGTTATAGATAAAAGGAGGTTCTTGGTTAATTTCATTAATATTGTGATTACTGTTCCTAGGGGCCATTGCTTGGTGAAATGGAGGTGATGATATTCGTTTCTACTGGGAAATGAAAAAGGAATATGTAATAAAAAAAGAAAATAATTAGTATACCTATTAGTTTTTGTTGTTTTTTTTTTTTTTTCTTTCATAATGTACACATGAGATTGCATTGCATGCATATAGTAATGTGTCCTGAAGTTTTTTGGTGGCGTTGTTTTCTTCCTTATTGACCTTTTTTTTCCTATCCCACAGATAGTGTGAGTGAGGATGTAAGCTTTACAGTGGGTTCAATAACTCATGCAACATCTTAACAACTTCCACCATCATTTAGTTTTCATTAAATTTGCTAAAAGAATTATTAAGATTCGCAAGTTTGTCTCAATATCAATTTGGCTTGCAAGACACTTTTGATTGTCATTTCCATTCCTGGTGACATCATAGTTGTGGTCAGGATACTTGGTAACCAATCTGGTATTGAACATTTGTTGGGGGCCTTGGGGCAGCTGCTGCAGCTCCAAAACAAAGGGGTTGAAATCCATCATATATCCCAATAGTGGTGTGTGAACTGTGAAGCATCATAGATGCTGTCATGGATCTATGGTTAAGGATGTAAAATCTAGAATAAAGTTTAGGAAAAGAATGACATATGACCGTGAAAATTTATGGAGGTATAGTAGATCGGATGGAGGAAGAAAATGGGGTATTGTGTGGCTGGTCTGTACCTACAAGAAAAATCACTCAGATCTGAATCTTAGGTTAGAAGTAAATACAAGGCTGAACCACTGGTCCATAATTACATCTGATAAATGGTCCAATCTACAGGCCCATGCTTGATAGACTGTTCTGAAAAACTGCTTGTGAATTGTGATGTTGGACCAGTAGACAAGTAGCACAAAAATCTTCTCTAGAAATCAAAAGTGAAAAGGACTATTACTAATATTTAGGAGTACAACTTGGGTTCACCTGAACGAACATTTTACATTCGGGCTGGGCCCATTCAAATTTTGACAAAAGCCCAACCCATGCCCACCCAAGTTGCACCCCTACTAATATTGATCCTGGCTATTTGGGGTCTTCAGTGGGGTAGACTGGATACACACCTAACCTTTGTCATTTGTGCATAAAGTGGCTCATCTCAGACTTGGAATTCTATTTTTATGCTTGTCGGTCTGATATACTTTTGTACCAAGCAATGGCCCCTTCTAGAAATCAAAGGTGAGGTTTCCATGAATATCTAAGGGATACAATGACATTTTTTTATCAATATAGTACACAATGGCATTTTTTTTAAGTTACAATGGCTGCTAAGTTTAAGATGGGGTTTAAAGTTGAAAATGCAATGTTTGGATTCCACAAGCAAATCAGTCTAAAGGAGTAAAAACCGAATTGATGGTCCACCCATTATTCAGCATATATTGAGAACTTAATAAAAATATATGATTGGGAGAGTCAAATCCATATAATTGGGCCTTGAAAAATGATTTAGTAGGTTAAGGCTTACTGGTGCAATTTTTTAGGGCCAGGGAATTGAGTTGGGTTCAAATATTTGTAGAAACCCAATTGCTAATCTATCATGTACTAACTTACCTAGATACAACAAGGACACGGCTGGAAAATGGTGTCAAATATAGAATTTTAACTACAAATTGAAGCATCTGACAAAACAAAGCACCCTTGTACAGGTATCCATTTATAATAGATCATGGGAATCATATGAAAGCCATATAGAGTTAGAGAATGGTGTGGTTTTGGATTCCCCTTTCATTATCATTTGGCCCCACATGGACTTGTTTTGGGGCCTTCCTTTTTGATGTCTGATCTTGTATCAGACAGATCAGATATTGTTGAGTGTAATAGAGTTCAGGTTTGGGTATACTTGTACTGTTGGACATGAGTTGTTGAGATCTCTAGTTGCCATCATCTGCCATATACCACTTAAATGCGGTCAGCAGCATGAATGATGTTCCCTCATTTTGTTCTAGCTAAGGCTATATTCTCACAAGAAATTATCATTTCATTGATTTGAATTAAAATATGCAACTTTTCTCCATAGTGATATTTATTCATCATAAGTAACTAGAAGCATATCTTTATGTTAAACTAGGTTTTCCAAAGTATAAACAGATATAGATAAACTGAAGCTTGTTTTGGTGAAGTTTCATGGAAGGTAAAAAAGATTCCACCATTTTGATCAATTATCTATGCTAACTGGCATTTCTCTAACATATTTTCTATGAACAAACATTTATAAAATTAAAATAGTATCTTTAGCTTTAGTTTCAGCTCACCCTTTGATTTTACAGATAGCAATGAAAATTATGTGCATTGTTCATGTAGGAAATATTGGGCTCAGCATGTAATGCCTGTGAAGAAAGTAAAATGAAACCAGGAGCACATGGGATTTCTAGAGCTCAGAAGTCAAAAAAATTTCAAGGAGAAGGGCCAAATTGGGTTCTTGTTGCAGGAGGTGCATTGTTGAGTACTTTATCAATTCAGCTTGGATACAAACTCAAGCAAGCTCTTGATACAAAGAGACTGAATAATGCTAGTAACAGATTGAAAGGTCTTTTAATATATAGTTTGTTGACATTTTATATTATAAACTTGTATCCTTTAATAGTTTTTAAATGTTTTTGTTATTTTTTTCATATTCAGGAAATGCAGACTCTGTTGACAAGAGGACACTGGGGGTTTGCACATCAAACTCAAATCTATATTCTTTTCCACAAGATGAAGATAGCTTTCACAAATGTTGTTCAGGTGGAGAATTTTTATGTGACTCATAACCATTGATGAATCAAATTTAATTTTGTTGACAAAAAATTATTGGTCAACAATAATTAGTTCTAGTTCCTTAAATTTTGTGGTTTTTGGTTATTTGCTAATTGTGGTCATGTGCATTACTGGTGAACATCCATTATTGGTTATTTGTTGAGGTAATGCTTGGTTTTGTTGTTATGTGCAGTTTACTTGTGCTTTTAACTATTAGAGTTTTGGTTAAGGTAATTGCCATTTAAAGGACCTTGATGTGATTATCAAGCATTTCACTGCAAGAGGCCATTGCTTGGTGCAATGGTAATCTCAGACTGATTAGTGTGGGAACGCAGGTTCAAGTCTGAGATAGGTCAGTCTATGGGTAAAAAAAACCAAAAGTTAATTACATATCCAGCCTACCCCTCTCAACCCCCCCAACTGCTAGGGCCATCATTAGGTAACGGCTCTTTGCAAAGCATTTCACTGTGCTAATATTTGATGGACTGATATTTGAACTCATTTCACGAATAAATAATTGACCTGAAAAAGGGAGAAAAAGAATTTGTGAAGAAACAAAAAATCAAGGATAATTTTCCCCTTTAACAATTGTTGCATTGGATGTTAAATTATGTTCTGGCAAAAGTGGCATTTCACTTTAGGTTCTAGTTGTTTTGCTTCTTGCTTTTAAAACACTGTAACCAACCTGGGTTATATAGTTTTTTTTCTCTTTTATAATTATAATTATTATCATTGTTGTCATCATCATTGTCATTATGTTTGTTAATCTTTTGAGGGCGTTGAATCAGGGTTTTCTAGTGGCATGATGGAGATTAAGCATCAATCCACCGCCTCTACCTTGAAAGAACCTAATCTGACACTGCCTTTGGTAACAATTCCATATCTGGAATCTAACAAAGAAAATGGTGTGATGTGGGCATCTTCTTCTCCCAATTGCCTTGAGATGCCTCCAAAGCCATTCCATCACTCAAATAGTTCAGAATCTCCCTGTGTGTCAGAATCTGGTTCTGACATCATCACCAAGCAGGAAGTGATAAACAAACTAAAGCAACAGTTGAAAAGAAGAGACGAGTTGATCCTAGAAATGCAAGACCAGATTACAGCATTGCAAAATGTGCTCAATGGTCAGCTGACTCATTCTGCCCATTTGCAGTCACATCTTGAAGCTGCAAATAGTGAACTCTTTGAATCAGAGAGAGAGATCCAGAGGCTGAGGAAGGCCATAGCAGATCACTGTGTAGGAGAGATGGGTACTTGCGAGAAGCCCATGGCAGTTGGGAACTGCGCTGAAGAACAGGATGGGCATACAAATGGCTTTATTGGAGGTGAGAATTATCTGGCGGTGATGGACAAAAGGAAAGGAGGTGGTGATAGGATTGAGATACTGAAGAAAGAAGTGGCAGAGCTAAAGGAAGTAATTGAAGGGAAGGAATACTTGCTTCAGAGCTACAAGGAGCAGAAAACAGAGCTCTCCTCAAAGGTTCAAGAACTGCAGGAGAAATTGGCTTCTCGGGTACCAAGTATTTTGTAGATGCTGCCTCAATATTGTGTATTCTTGTGGTTTTTTGTCACATCGGGAGTGAACATTCTTTCTCCTTTCTTCAATAGGGTTCACATGTTTCTGCTGACTTTGCTTTAGTTTTAGTAGTTCCTATCTTTGGCTAAAGGCGTTATTGCTTCCTCTAACGCTACTAACAGCTTGTATTTGGCTTCTTGTATGTCTCAAGGTCAAGGCTATGCGGCATGGATTGCCAAAGGACATTTTGGTTGTGATATAATATAAGGCTGTATATATTTCCTGCTCGTTTTTGGTAAAATAATTGACACCACTTATAGTTTATTAATCTCTGCTTTTTATTTCATTTTTTTTTTGAGTGGAAAGAAACTCACCCAACATCTCTGAACTTGAGAATGATGATCCAACTCCTACGTTTGAACTTGCTTCTGGCTAAGGAAGTTTCTTTAACAACTTATCCTGCAACTTGCTAGTGCTTTCAACAAAGCTTCATTCCTAGTTCCAAGTTCTAACCCTACGGGGCTGGCAGTCAGCTACAGGCATTCTGTTTTACTTTTACCCTTCCACCTTTATGCAAGGGAGCCATACCCAGTCAACTTAGCAAGGCTTTAATCCTAACAATTTGGGGTCAGTCAGCTACATTGATCTCTGCCCTCCAAAATACATTCTTTCAAAATCAAGAGTCGTGCTTTCTCTTAAATGGTAAATGAATAAATCGTTAGATCATTTATTTTTATTCTAGTCCATGTCTTCTTTCGCGGCTTTCGCCTATTCCTCGCTCTTTTACAGCCCAACTATTTTGATATTTTCACCATTTATCACTTATGGTATCAGTAATGCATGTAACAAATAAAATTGCATTAGGTCATATAAAGACCAAAAACAGGTTTCTAACTCTTGTTTCAGGTTGCACATCTCTCAAATCCTTGATAATGGCAGCTGTCCCAGCTGCAACCACTGTGTTACTTGTACGGTTGTACCATCCTTCATGAGATGGCTGCAAATGGCATCTATTGTTTGAATTCAAATTTGAATCTGATCCATTTAAGGATGATCCGAACCTGCTCTGTTATAATTGGACTGATACCCCTCTAACCCCATATAGTTAGGGGTGCTCACAGTTCGGTTGGGCTTATTTTTCAAATCGAACAAGTATTATCAGTTTTTGGAAAATCAGTAAATAAAACTGAATCGAAGCCAATCGGATAACCAGTTGATTGGTTTAGTTAACCATTAATTTGGTTTGTCAGTTTTACTTTTTCTTTGATACTTATAATATATAAATAAATATATAGATAATATAAAATATATATGATATACATAAATATACATATATTGATCGGTTTGGTTAATTGCTAAATTTTTATATTGGTTAATTGAAACCAAACTGATCGGCCCAGTTAATCAGAATTTTCAATTCAGTTCAAATTTTTGGTTTTTGATGATCATCCATACATATAGTTGTTATTGTTTGGGTTATGGTTGAGCTGGCCCCAGGTGCCATGTGTCACCTCTGCAGGCGCCTTATCACTTCGGCCATGTTGGTACCATGTAAGATGGATAAATGTGACCAAGATAAGAGAACTTCGCATGGATAAGGAGGACAACTTTGCCAGGGATTAGGTCTTATCCTGAAGACCTCAGCAGACAACCTCATCCCAACAACCCCAGAAGCTTCATCCGAATAGGACACGAATATTCAGCTATAAAAATGTAACTCCGCTCAAGGTAAGGGACTTTTTTACTCTCAAGCACACATACTGCTATTCTCCCTTTACTCAGACTAGCACGTTTCTCTCAACTGCTCGGCCCGACCATCCACCGTTCTTAACTAACTTAAGCATCTAAGTACCTATCTAGGGAACAACTCCTTGGGCCTCTAACCTTGTTCTTGGTTCCAAATCTTGCTACATGACTTCATCCTTCCACCTCGGCTTCGCCAGTTGGCAAGATCATCTGACTGCGATCTTAGTTCGGGACACCTCAGATCGGATAACATCAGATTGGCATCGTTTGTGAGAATCGCACAAAAAGCCATTCTGAAATACTCTCCACGCAATTAAGAAACATGCCAAGAAACGCATTTGATTGCTCTACAAGTCAATCTTCATCTTGGGGATCTCGCTCTCACCATAGCCCTCCACATCACGAGTCTTAGCAGCAGCCTCAATAGTAGGCCACGGTTGACCCTGCCTAGTTCCAAGCAATGTAGTAGAAGGTCGAACAGATCCTCGCGATGATGCAGACATTGGGAAAAACAGCACAACCTCCTCAGACCGTCCCCCCTCCCGTCCCGACGCTTAACACAGTTGATCCTCGTCCTGAGGACCCCAAAAAGCGCCACCCATATAGGCATAGGGCGTGGTCTGACTAAGAAAGGCAGCAATCATCAATAAGATCGGAATCAGCCCGATCCCATGAACGTGACGACCACAGCAAGACGCATTGCTCTACTAGAATCCTAGCGAAATAAAAGCTCGGCAAACGGACGCAGCAACAACCGGTCTCAATCGCCGAGCCCAGCTCAGTCAAAGACCGCCCAGCAGTGCCCAAGAATGAAAGGACAACACACGTGGCCCAAGACAATAAGGATGTAGAGATTAGGGAACTCAGGCAGTGCCTGACCGAACTGGAACACTACCAAGCTAACCAAAGCGTGGCTCCTCCCACTGTCCAGCTTGTAGAACCTAACAACTAGCCCTCCAAAGAGCCGATCTTCACCCAAGACATCGTGGATTAGCTCCCCCTAGCCGGCTGGCAACTTCCATAGTTCGAGAAGTACGACGGAGCCACGGACCCTGATGACCACATCAAAGGCTTCAAGGCTTTGATGGTGTTACACGACTCGTCTGAAGGCCTGATGTGTAAAGCCTTCGTAGTGACCATCAAGGGAGTGGCCCGGACATGGTACTCCTCCCTTCCCTCGTGCTCTATCTCCTCTTGGGAGTAGCTGGAGAGCTTGTTCCTAGCGTAGTTCATGGCTAGCAAGAGACACTCGAAGACTTCGACAAGCCTCATGCAAGTGCTGCAGAGGAAGGGAGAGTCTCTCAGAGAGTACTTGGCAAGATTCAACGCCAAGGCCCTACAAGAACGTGCCCTGAACTAGCCGATGGCAGTCACAACTATCATGCAAGGCCTACTCCCCTCCCCTTTCAGCTTCTCAATATCAAAGAGCCCTCCTCAGATCGTAGCCATGCTGATGACACACACCAAGAAGTACATCAACGTCGAAGAAGCACAAGCACAACTGAGGGACAAAGAAGAGCAGCACGATAGGAAGAGGAGAGACCCCAATGAGTGCAGGACTGAAAGGGTAGATCAAGACAATAAGAGACAAGACCGCCAACTAGACCAAAGACCTACGACTCCACCACGGGCCTACCAGAACTTCATGCCACCTTTAGCAGCTTGGTCATAGATTTTGATGCAGATCCGCGACTGCAACTATGTCAGGTGGCCTGAGAAGATGAAGTCCCAGAACAACAAGAGAAATAGAGACAAGTACTACGATTTCCATTGAGACCACGACCACAAGACAGACAGTTGTCACGATCTACGCCAACACCTCGAGGACTTGATCAAGCACGAATACCTAGGAGGCTTCATTGACATCAAGGAGCACAAGTCGAAGGAAGAACCGCACCAAACAAACAAACCTCCAACCCGGTCTCCCCCAGTTGGGGTTATCGTAGTGATCTCAGGAGGGATGGCCGCTAGGGGAGAGAGCAACTCGGGCCGCAAAGCATATGTGCGACTACTTGAGATCAAACGACAGGGAGCAGAAGAGAAGGCGACAGGACGATCTGATTTCCTTCATGCATGACGACCTTAGGGGGGTCCAAATCCCACATGACGACACCCTTGTGATAATCACCGAGGTGGCCAACTTTGAAGTTCAGTGCATCCTTGTGGATACAAGAAGCTAAGTCGACATTCTCTTCGAGGAAGCCTTCGAACAACTTGGCATCGGCAAAGATCGTCTAACTCCGGTCAACATCCCTTTAGTAGGCTTCTCCGGAGAGTCCCTCATACCCTTGGGAAAGATTGCCTTGCCTCTTTTGATCGAAGACAGTGACATCACCACTACGACAATGGTCGACTTCATCATTACCCCTGTCCTCTCGCCCTACAACGCCATCCTCGGCCGACCGACCCTGAATGCTCTGCGAGCCTTGGTTTCCACATACTACCTGGTCATTAAATCCTCCACCCCTTACAGAGTAGGCGTGGCATGCGGAGATCAAAGGGCCACATGGTAATGTTACTCAATGGCTTGCCGAGGAAAGCCCCATGCTGAAGAAGCCCTAACGACAGAGAACATAGACCTGCGGGATGAGCTGAAGACACAACATGGTCAGTCGTGAAGACTTGATACAATTGCCACTCTTCAAAGAAGACCTTGAGAAGACGATCCAAGTTAGATCCCTCTTAGAAGATCATCTTCGGGAAGATCTCATACAGCTGCTAAGGGACAACGCCGACGTGTTCGATTGGTTGGCTGCAGATATGTCGGGGATCGGCCTCAATGTCATCACCCACCGCTTGAACGTCGACCCATGCTACCGACCCATCAAGCAAAAGAAGAGGAGCTTCACCTCAGAATGGTGGCAGGTGATCAATGAGGAGGTCCATTAGCTGCTTGACGTCGGCTTCATGTGAGAAGTACGGTGTCCAGACTAGATGGTGAACGTGGTAATGGGGAAGAAGGCCAATGGGAAGTGGAGGATCAGCATCAACTTCACCGACATGAACAAAGCCTGTCCCAAAGACAGCTTCCCCCTGCCAAGGATCGACCAGCTCATCGACGCAACGACAGGGCATGAACTCTTGAGCTTCATTGATGCATTCCCAGGCTACAACCAGATCCAAATGCACCTAGACAACTAGGAGAAGACGACCTTCATCACTGACCAAGGACTTTACTACTACAAAGTGACGCCCTTCGGTCTCAAGAAAGCCGACACTACTTACCAGCGGCTAGTGAACCACGTCTTCAAAGATAAACTCGGCCACAATGTAGAAGCATACGTGGACTCATGTTCGTAAAGAGCAAGAAGGTTGAGCACCACCTAGCTGACCTCAAGGAAGTCTTCGGCACCCTCAGGAAGTATCGAATGAAGTTGAACCCAACGAAGTGTGCTTTCGAGATCAGCTCTAGAAAATTCCTGTGGTTCATGGTCACGCAGCGAGGAATCGAAGCCAACCTTGAGAAGATCAAGGCCATCCTTAGCATGCAATTGCCTTAGATCTACAAAGAAGTGCAGCATCTTACCGGACGAGTAGACGC